CACCACTGCAGCCCGGTCGCAGCTGCCGGCCACCACGGCCGCCCGCCCTCGGTCCTCACAGCTACCGCGGCTTTGTCTGGAAGGACGCCTGGTCTAACTAGCATATTATGCTTTTATTATGATATAGATTTCATTTTTCTTTTTCTTTTAAAAATATTTTCATTCACTTCGGAGAGGAAGGGAGAGGGAGAGAGAGACATCGATGATGAGAGAATCACTGATCAACTGCCTCCTGCATGCTTCCCAAAGGGATCAAGCCCACAGCCCGGGCGTGTATGTGCCCGTGACCGGGAATCGAACTGTGACCTCCTGGTTCATAGGTCGACAGTCAACCTCTGAGCCCCGCCGGCTGGCGTATAATTAATTCTATTTCAAATAGTGAGGCCAGGCTTCTGGCCCCAGGGCCGTGGATCCAACACAGACCGTTACTGCCTCCTAGTGGCCATGGCGGCGGCTGGTCTCTAAATCCAGATTCTAACAGGATTCCCAGGGGCTGCTCCAGTTCATCCTCGGGCTGGAGGGACCTTAAGCAGCCCCGTCTCATCTCCTCCACTTTGCAGGCGGGATGGTGACTCTCAAAGTCACAGGTGGAGCCCAGGGCTCCGCGTCCCCCGTCCCGGCCCCTCCCGCCACCTGGCGCTGCAGGCAGCTCCGTGAGGCCGCGGACTCCACGTGGTTCTGCGGATTCCCGAGTGCCGGGCGCGGCCTAGGCCTGTGCCAGGCAAAGAGGTTGCCACCCCGGCCTGGACCCGGAGGGCGCCTCGGGGCAGCCGTGCGGCCACAGACGGCAAACGCCCAGGAGGACGCCGCGGGGCGTGAAGGAAGAAAGAGCGGGCTGGCCAGCACCGCCAGGAGCCCCCGGAGCCGGGAGGGCGGCCCGGACCGGTCTCCCTGCAGCACTCGGAAGGGCCCACCTCCGCCCAAGTCCTGGATCTCGGACGCCCGGTCCCCAGAGTATGAGTGAGGACAATGCGTTTCCATCCCTTATGCCACTCTGGTTGTGGTGCTTTTGCTACAGCCGGCCCGGCAAACCTATAATATTCTGTAGGGCGTCCCCTGTTCAGCCCCTTCCAGTTGTCAATCACGCTTCCTGCAGGGGAGGCAGAGCCGCAAGAAGAAAGGAAGAAGCGCAGGACTCCCTGGGCGAGCAGCGCCAACACCCTCACCAGCGGACTTCCATTTCATGGGGACCCTCTGCTCCCTTTTGGAGGCTCAGCCGGAACAGCCTGAGGTTTCCTGAGCGCAACTGTGAGCCCTCCCCACCAGGGGGCGCCGTTCAACGCAGACCCCAGGCTCTCCCTTGGACACATGCAGTCTACCACCCGCCACCAGGTGGCGCCTCAGGCTTCCTTTCTGCAGGCAAAGGCCAAAGAGACTCCAAATGAGTTTCACTTGGATTTGGACTTAAAACGAAGGGTCAGCTCTCGTCTCCTTTTTTTTTTTTTTTTTTTAGTTCTCACCAGAGGATGTTTTCCCATTGATCTTTAGAGAGAGTGGAAGAGAGAGGGAAAGGCAGAGAGAAATATTGATGTGAGAGAGACACATCCATTGCTTACCTCCTGCACACAGCCCAACCAGGGCCCTGAACGGAAATTGCAACCAAGGTACCTGCCTTTGACAAGCATCGAATCCAGAGCCCTATGGTCCGCACACTATCCACTGAGCCAGCCATGCCTGGCCAGCCCTTCTCTCCTGGACAAAGAGACCTTTCCATGCCTCCCCCCCATTCCCTCTGCCCCACAGCATGCTTACGGGCTGCCTCTTCCAATGTCACACCAGGGGCTGTGGCAGGTGCTCTGTGGGGGGCGAGGCATGGGCAGAGCTCATGTGTGCCCCAGGAGCCTGGGGCCTGGATCTCGGTGCTCAGTGCACAGGGCAGGGGAGAAGCAGTGGCGTGGCTTGTGGAGTGTGTAAGGTGAGGCACGTTGGTGATCTGGGCCCCATCCGGGACTTTCCAGTTTTTGATGCTTCTTATCAAAGTGAAATGCTGTTGATCAATGCGTCTCCTACTGCGTTGAAGGAGGCCTGGTTTCATGTTCTATATCGATGGGGGTGTTATTTATTGATCAAACAGAGGCCCTTTATTGGTGTCCCTCGTTGGGCGTCATAATGCCGGGCTTCTCTTCCCAGCCTCACAAAGGGTTCAGCATTCTGGAGAAAGGGCTGCGTGTAGGTGATTAAAGAGTCCGGAGGTGAAAGATAATTTTGAAAGACATTGGGGGGTCAGAGGATCATCAGCTTAAGAGCTAAGGACTGACTCTTATCTAAGGACCTTATGGTATTTATTTAACACAATTGTCCTAAGGCAAGGAGCAGATAATACACTTCCAAGGGTAGGGTAAGAGAAACATGGTCAGTTTGGGGAATGGCCTACAGCTGTTCAGGTGTTTGGCCAACAAGAGGCAATCAAATGCCCTGAGCTGTCTGGCAGCAGACAATCCTATTCCGGTTTGGGGGAAGGGCCGTTTCTAACAGGTGAAGACATATGTGGCTCACCCTTGTTGAACAGCCCAAGCCCCGTCTACCTTTTGATGGAACTCTTGTAATCATTACATCCTGGAATTGGTTCCCAGCAGCCCATTTAGTCCTGGCTTCCATCCTTAGGGGCCTGACTCCAATCATGCTTGTCCCATGATTGTGCAGATGTGAAGAGAATGAGCCATGTCACTCAATTCTATGGATCAAAAATGGCCTGCGATCTACCACTCACAGTTCTTGCAGTGGGGGCAGTGGTTGAGCGTTGACCTATGAACCAGGAGGTCACGGTTTTATTCCCAGACAGGGCGCACGCCCGGGTTGCCTGTTCAACGCCCATTGGGGGGCATGCAGGAGGCAGTGGATCAGGTTTTCTCTCATCAGGGATGTTTCTATCTCTTTCTCCCTCTCGCTTCCTCTCAGAAAGCAATGAAAATATATTAAAATTATTTTTAAGGAGCTGTCAGCCCCAGCTCAGAGTCCTTATTGATTTCAGTGGAAGCGAGGACAGGAGGCCACTGTCACAGAGTCCCACCAACATCATGACGCTTGCTCGTTGGCGCCAGAGTTGTACCTGCGGAGGGAGTGCCTGCAGGGTCTGTCGTGACGTGGCACCTCCGTCCTGTGACACGGAACAGGATGTGTGTGACGGGAGGGCCCATGGGGACACGTGTCTCCAGAGGCTGCGGAGATGGCACAAGCCCATGGGGACCTCATGACCCAGAGGTGACGTCTGAGGCGCCTCCACCCCAGGCACCTGGGACCGGTTAGAGCTTGAGCAATGGAGGGGCCCTGGGACCCAAGGGGCACACGTGGCCAGTGCATCCTGCTGAGGGCGGAGAGCAGAGACCCCGAGGGCCTTGAGGACATGATCCCTGCCACCTCCCCCTCTCCTGTACCCTGACTCCAGTGCCCGTGTGCAGGTCACAGAGTCACAATGAGCCTGGCTTCCCTGTGTCCATTGGACAGACAGACAGGTGACTGGGAACTGACAGCTGGTGGTGACTGAGCGCCATCCCAGTCAATCCAGAGCCCACGCAGGAGCGAGCAGCCCTAGGAGAGGCCGCGCCCTCCTGGCCGGGCGGTCAGGCCGCCGGGTGTTGGCCGTGGGGAGGAAGTAAGCCACTTCTGTGTGACTGTCACTCACGGTTTCCCGTTCCGGGGCATAACCGGACGGCTGGCGTGGACGGCCAGGCACCGTGCCGAGCCTTTGTCCTGGATGAACCCCCGGGTCCTCACATGTCCGTGGGACCCCCTGGTGTTACAGATGGGGACACTGAGGCAGGAGGGGCAGCGCCTGCTGGAGACCCCCATGCGGGAAGCTCCAGAGCTGAGCTTGGCCCTGGAGTCTGGCCCTGACCTTAGGCTCTTGCTCACCGCCCCCACCCCTCCAAGGGAAACGTCCCACACTTGAAAGAGAGACCCACACGCCACCCCAGAATCCTCAGCGCTGTGTGAGCTGCTGGCTAGCACCCGAGGTGGCGGGACCAAACCTGCCCAACCTGTGTGTCTCCTCCCGCGATGAGGACGAGCCCCTGCTGCCCGCAGCCCAAAGGCCGAGGCCCCGCAGGGGGCTTTCTGCCAGGGGAGGAGGCGGCGAGCAGGGAGGAACAAGGTCGCCCTCAGCCAGAGCCCTGGACGGAGCAGAAACCCAGAGGCGCGCAGCTGAGAGAGACCTTCAGGCCACGCACTCCCTTCCGTCCGGGGGTCCCACGCGCGGCACCGGTCAGAATCCTGTCTACGCTGTGTGGCCTCACGTCCGCGGCCTTGTCCCTGCCCCACGGCCTCTCTCCGCATCCTGCGGCCTCCCTGCCCCATAGAGCAGCTGCTACGGCCAGCACAGGCAGAGAACCGGCCTGCAGTCGCGTCTCGTGGGGGCCCGATGCCCACAGGGGCCACCCCTGGACCGACCCATGGGTGCCGATGGGTCAGAAATCGTGGGGGCTCTGACCCGGAGCTCAAGGCAGAAGGGGGCGGTGGGAGGGCCTTCTTCCTCTGGGCTCTGCTTTCTCTGGGGAAGCGGACACCACGGACCTGGTTCCCTGCAGTGCCCGCAGCAGCCCTGGCACAGCGGGCACCATGGACCCCAAAGGAGCGACCTGCCACGCCGATCGCTCCTGCACTCGGGGTCCCTCCTCTCCCACAGAGACACGTGGGGACCCCCTCTCCGAGCCAGGCCCGGGGTGAGGAAATGAGAACTCGGCCCCTGCTGCATGGAGGGAGCTGCCTCCCAGGGGCTCCCTCCACTGAGGGGCTCACTGGCCACCCTCCCGATTCGGGCGGTGCCCCAGGGAGCCGTGCAGGTGCCAGCGAGGCCTGGCACCAACCAAGTTCCCGGGCTGTGGCGTGACGGATGGCATCAGCTTTCCAGGTGAAGGGGGGCTGGAAGCCGGGCCTGGCACCTGCCGGTCCCCTGAGGGCGGCACCCGGGAGGCTCACTGGGTACAAAAGGCCCAGAGCTCCCAGGCCGCTCACCCAGCTCCTCTCGTTCCTGCTGACTCCGCTGCGCTCTGGCCTCAGGCACCATGAAGCTGGCCCTGCCTCTGCTGCTGGTCACCCTGGCCCTTTGCTGCCCCGACGGTGAGGGTCCCTTCCACGCAGACACGGCGGCCGGAGGACCTTCTCCGGTCCCGGGGACGTAGATGGGGAGGGGGACGGGTCAGAAGGAAACCTTTCCCATTCCCGGGGCACCAGCCCCCCAAGCCCAGGGCTGGGGGTGTCACGTCCGGGGTCTGGAACTTCCACAGAAAGCACCGCAGGCAAGTGCGGGTCCCGCGGGCAGCCACGCCGGCCGGCCGGGGCTGGTGCAGAGGCAGCAGGACGGAGCCCGCTCCTGTGGTCAGGGCTCCGCCCGGCAGCGCCGGGACCTCCTCGCTCCCCAGTAGCTCTCCTCCCTCTTCTGCGCCTGTACTGTCTCCCTCTGGACCCGCTGCTGGGGCCTGCCCCTGCCTTCCCTGGGAAGGCTGGCGGCTGACAGCTCTCTGCTCAGGTGCCAGGCTAGGCCGGAGGGGCTGTGTGAGAGGCAGAGCGGAGTCTGAGGCCCAGGCACAGTGACTGGCACAGCCGGCCGGGATGTGGGGAAGCCCTGGGTGCACTTGGTGCGGTGAGAGTGACCAGGGCGTCCCCTGGGCGCCATCCCGGCCCCGTTGCGTGCTCTGTGCCTGCGCCATGAGGACGGGGGATGCGCACTTCCCTGGAGGAGCCCTTCCCACCCTGTGTCCTGTCCTGCTCTGGGGCCACAGAGCATGGCAAAGTGACTTCCTACATCAGCTGTGTTTCTCTCTCTCCGGCTCCAGCCAATGCAGGGGAAGTTTGTCCAGCCCTTAATTCGCTGACGTACAGCTTTATGTTGGGGCCCATAGAGGAATACCAGCGGAAGATTAATAAGTTGGATGCACCTGCAGAAGCCATTCAGGCCATAATGAATGTGAAGACATGCGTAGACGAGATTCCCGGAACGTACCGATTGGCAGCGGCCCGCTTTGTGGTAACTTCCTTCTCCTTTCTGCACGGGCTGCTGCTCAGCTCAGGGGCAGGCGGGAGGAGGGCACTGCCCTGGGGGGCACGGGGGAGCTGACCACCACGCTGTCTCTCTGAGGAAACCAGACATTGCGGGGAGGGGGGGTAGTTCCTTCACCCCCAGTGAGGCCGGGCGCTAAGGATATGTCCCCCGTGTGCACACGCCAGGGCGCCACCAGGTGCAGGTCCGCACCTGGGCTGCAGATCTCCGCAGCAGATCCTCCCTCCGCCCCCGGCCCCGCCACTTCCCAACCCTGTATCCACTCCTAAGTGAAAAGTCCCGTCCTGGGACCTGAGACTCAGAGAAAGCACATCCCGGGGGCTCCATGCCGTGTCCCCCTCCCGGCTCCCTCAGACACAGAGGCCGCTCCTGGGCCCTAGCTCTGTGGGGCCGTGGCCGGGGCTCCGGGGGACGTGTGTGGCCCCAGCACCGGGACCATTGGACGCTCCACCAGCTCCCTGGCCGCCCGCTGTCCGGGGCCGTCGCTGGTTGCAATGTCTCCGGTTTTGGTTGTGAACACACTCTGCCCGCGGCCTCTCCAGGGCAGCCTGACTGACAGCCTGTCTCTCTCTCGGTCTATTGCAGCAGATTGTTGAAAACAAGTGTAAGAAGCAGTCTGCGTAAACCTTACCTACGAACGCCCTGTCTCTCAGTGATGGGCTGACCTTCCCTGGCAAATGCAGAGGTTTCAACGTCTTGCTTCAATAAATCACTTTCCCTGCACGATGTCTCTGCCTGTCTTGTTTTATCCGGTCTCTGGCCGTGGGGGAAGAGGGGGCACCATGAGGGGCGGTGGGAGGTGACAACAGTGCATCACGCTGACCCGATGGGCAGTGACCGTGGCGCCTGATGACAGGGATCAAGAGGGACCGTGGGCTCCGGGCCCGGCCCGTGTGTCTGCACAGGCTCCCAGCCCGGCCTGCATGAGCCACGCCGGCTCCGCACCTCCATCCCCGAGGCGCCCACGCAGCCAGCCGGACGCCTGGGAGCTCTGGCCTCATGTCCAGCGGCTGCTGTGGCTCAAGGACTGTTCACAGGGGCAGGACAGGAGGCTGCGGTCTGTCTCTCTGCCCTGACCAGGTGCAGAGGCCCTGCTGGCTGCCCAAGGCCAGGGCCAGCTCTTCCTGGCAGCTTCCCGCTGGCAGTGGATGGCAGGCTTGGTCTGCTCCAGGGGCTGCAGGACCTGCGGAGCTGCCACTGCGCCTCCTTCCTGTGGGGGACGGCAGAGCGCAGACCCTGGAAACCCAGGGTGGTCGCCCACACTCAGCATCTGCCCCTTGATCGCAGCTGCAAAGTCCCCAAGGAAAGCAGGGTCACCCAGGGCTCAGGGGGGGAACTTGGGGTGATGACCCCAGGGCTGCTCCTCTGATCCTAACACCTGAGAGTCATCTGTGGCCCCTCCACAGTCCTCCCTCGCACCTGGAAAGCCTGTCCTTTCCATCTGCACAGCCATCTTCTCCCGGCTTGTGCCCACGGCTCCTCCCCGGGCCCCTGGGCGGAGCTGCCCTCCCTGCCCTGCGCCTGCGCACCCACATGCAGTGACCCCACAGGAAGGGGGTTGGCCCTCCTTCTGCCCCTGAGAGCCTGGGCCTGGGCCTCCATGTTTCCAGGACGAGGACTGGCCATGAGTCCTCGGCGCCTCCCGTGAAGAAGGGCACATGAGGCCCCCGTGCCTGAGGGCACCGTCAGGGTGACCGCCTGCTCTCCGAGGACCCACGCTCCACAGGGAGTGGCAGGGTCCCGGCGGGAACACACACACTCAGCTGCCTCCTTCCCGAAGCCCAGGGTGAGCTCAGCCTTCCACCCGTGCATTGCGGGCCCAGGATTCTTGAGCTCTTGCCACAGCCTGAGAGACACAGGCTGGAGTCCCGCCAGGAGGGCCGAGGCCCCCACTGGTGCTGCACACCGGGCCAGGCAGGACCCGTCCCTGCCCCCTCCCCCTGTCCCTGCCCGGCCCAGATCTGTGCTCCATCATATTGTCTCCATGCCACTCACACAGGCGGTGCGCTGGTCACACCCCGCACCTGGTCCTGTCGGAGTCGCTCTGCCTCCACATTGCCCCCTGCACAGGACAGGAGACCTCCTCTGTGAGGTCCATTCCACATCTCCCCTCGCGCGGCCCTCTCTCACTCTCACCCCTAAAATAAGCCTTTATATACAGAACAAAATTTACCCTCAGCCACACTCACAGAGATACACATCTTTACACAGAGTCCTCCCTGCGGTGTGCGCACAGCAAGACCCATGCATACACACAGGCACACATAGCCATGCACACACACAGCCATGCACACACACAGCCATGCACACAGGCACAAATGAACAAACAGAGAAGCACACAGTGAGACACATGCACACACAGGCAGAGTGAGCCATGTGTCCTCTCTGTGCCTTTCTGTGAAGTGCTATTCACATTACAGAGTGGCGGTGAGAACTCAGTGAAGGCAGTGATGACACCAAAGGACAAATGGCATCGCCCACTGTTGTGGTTGCCAAACTGCATCGGAGTTTGCCAGCAGCGAGCAGCCCCTGGGCGGAGGGCGGACGTGGTCTGGTAGCCTGGTCTCCAGGAAGATGAGAGTCCACTGTCGTGCATTGTCGGAGGCTAAAGCCAACAGCAGGTAACTTCAAAAAGAGGCAGTGGACGGCCAGTGGGCCTGGGTGTCCAGCAGGGCTCACTATCAGCTCCAGCTCTGCTCCTGCTGTGATGGCCATGGCTCCAGGTGAGTTCCGACCTGATTACCTTTGCATTGTTTCCCCGAACTTTACCTTTGATTTGCTGTAGGCTTTGCTAAAGGGCGAAGGTGTCTTCACAGTGAATAAAAAGCGAGGGGACCAGTCTCGGGAGCCTCCTCACCAAAGACGTTTCCACCTGACCCCCATGCCTTCCACATTGGCATTTCTTGTATAGCATTCTCATTTGTGTGTCAGCCCCTCCTGTGATCCAGAAACCTCATCGAACAGGACACCACAGACTGTCACCCACCGGACATGGGACGAAGCAAGTCTCCCCCTGGCCCCTGCAGCTTCGGGTCCTCTCAGAAACCATCAAGAAGAATCAAAAGCAGAGATGCCCCTGCCCTGCCCAAGACTAAGGTGTGGGGATCTCTGTGGGGAGAGCCCACATGGTCCCCAGACCTCACCTCCTACCCCTAACCCCACCCGTAGGGCAGCCCCCAGTGCCAAAGGGTCAGCAGCTCCCAACACAGCAGGTGTCCTGGGTCACCCCCCTCCCTAAACCTCCCAGCCCTGCCAGCCTCGCACCTGCAGGTCCAGCCTTACACCCAGGCTCTGCCACTGAGAGACCCGGGCCCTAACCATCTGGCCATAAAGGAAGGGGCCCCAGGCTGCACAGGTGGGGCTGGAGGAGGGGATGTGCCTGTTTGATGGGGAGCCCCTGTTTGGGCCGAATCTGGATGGACAGAGGTGACCTAAGGACGGTGCATGCAGCAATGCCAGTGAATGCTACATGCAAAGGAGGTGAACATGGTTAATGCTATGTTGTGTATGTTCCATCAAACACCCAGGAAAGCCCCACACAGCTGAGGGCTCTGAAAGGCAGTGCAAGGACACCCGGAAGGGGGAACAGGACCTGCATCCCACCCTGATACACCCTCCAGGCTGTCCACACTCCCATCAGGCCATGTCCGCTGTCCACTCGCTTCCTAGAGTAGGAGCTGAGAGTCACGTTCAGAAAGCAGTCTCCTCAGGCCTGTGGGTGCATCAGAACCTCCCCTCCTGTCCCAGCCCACATTTCGTCTTCTGCCTCTCCTTCCCTTCTGCTTTTCTCGCCCAGAGGCCACCAGCCTTCTGAGGTGCCAGCGGCATCCAAACAGAGAGAGACAGACGCTGGCAAGCTGTTCCTGGACCCGTGTTCTGTGAGACCGCTCCAACCCTCGGGGCCGGGAAGAGCTCTCCTGTGGGGCCCTTCCAGGGTCTTCAGGAAGCTCGGTGACCGAGCTCCGCTGCTGTCTTCAAGGGGAATAAACATTCAAAGTCAAACAAGCTGCTCTGGACAAAAAACAACAACAACAACAACAACAACAACAACAACAACAACAAAAAACCAACAAAAACACACACATAAAATACGATGGCTGGAAAATTATAAAGCACCTGGAAGACAGAGCAGAATAGTGTAACAAGGCCTAAGAGACCAGAAATGTGAGGGAAAAGAACAGCATGGTAAGGATGCCATTAAGGAGATCCAACCAATAGGATTGCAAAATGAGAGCGGTCCAGGTGGAAAGAAAGCCACCAAAGAAACACATAAGCAAATATCCCCACAGTGAGGAATATGAAATGGGCTCAGCCAGCACGGCTCAGTGGTTGAGCATCGACCTAGGAACTAGGAAGTCACAGTTCCATTCCTGGTCAGGGCACTTGGGTGGTGGGCTCCATACCCGGAAGGGGGCATGTAGCAGGCAGCTGATCAAAGATTCTCTCTCATCATGGATGGTTCTCTCTCTCTCCTTCTCCCTTCCTCTCTGACATCAATAAAAATACATTAAAAAGAGAATAGGAGATGGAATAGATACTCATTTTCCACATCAGACACCTCTGTGCGCCTCTTTGGAACAAGGCCCTAAGGAAGGAGCTCCTTTCAGGAGGAGACACACGTCACAGGCAAGGATGGGAACAAAACAGAATTCACACAAGACTGGGAGCCACTGAGGGACACTGACACTTCAGAGGTTCTGACCTGTCAGTGACCAGGACCAGCATCCTACATGCAGTTCACTACCATGTTAGCAGAAAGAAAGATATTCCTGAATGCAGATCTTCAAAAGGTTGATCTGCAATGTTCTGTTCCTCAGAAGCAGGGAGAAGTACGCTCTACCAAAAGGAGTAGGTGAAAAAATACCCACAACACAAGAGGCATGGAACCCAGTAAACACGGGATAGAACACATGAGCTCACAGATGCATTTGTACTCCTCATAAGTATTTCCACAGCAGGAGACACAGTGCTCATGTTCTCAGAGAAGCTGTCTTTCAATATTTTATTTATGGAACAATGCTCCTATACAATTATCTCTCTATATAAAAGGCTAAGTGACCGTCCAACCATCTGCCCGGTACCTATGATGGGGAATAGTCACCAGGGGGCAGAGGCTCAATGCAGGAGCTGTAGAGCTGCAGTGACTTGGCAGCAGCGGATCCTGGGTGATGCATACTGGAACCAGAGAGGAGGAAGCCCGATTCTGGGGTGTGTCCCCTGAGAACTGCCCTCTCTCAATCTGGGGCTCCTTGGGGGATGTCAGAGAGTCAATTTCGGCCTCATCCCCCTATGCCCATGCTGAAGGACCAATCACCCTGAAGATTCCCTTCAAACTGGGGAGGGTCTGTGGGAGGTTGGCTCCAGGGCCTGTCTGGCCCGTCTTGCCCAGTCCTGCTCCACCGGTCACCTTCTAATTAATTTCCTTTCAATGTGCACGAATCAGTGCACAGGGACACTAGTTTCCAAATAAAAATGTATAAAATTACAGGAAGTTGTAAGATAGAAATGCAATGGAATGTCAGGAGTAAAGAAAAAGAGTAAAAAAATGTTGTGGGTAAAATATGGCAAAAAATAGTATAAAATGGTGCAAATCATTTCAGATAACTTGGCTGCTATGCTGAATCAAACTTAGGGGGAATGTGACGTGTTTTGTGGAAAGGATCAATGGATTTTCTTAAGGCAGTGGTCGGCAAACTCATTAGTCAACAGAGCCAAATATCAACAGTACAATGATTGAAATTTCTTTTGAGAGCCAAATTTTTTAAACTTAAACTATACAGGTAGGTCCATTATTATTAACTTAATTAGGGTACTCCTAAGATGGCCTTTGCTAAAAACTCAAGGGGTCAAAAAACCAGATATGGCTGGTAAGCCACAGTTTGCTGACCACTGCCTTAAGAAAATCCATTGATTTTCTTAAGGAATCCATTATCATGTGAGATGTCAGGACCGAAGACAAGGCATAGAGGAGAGATGATGTGTGTCACTAGCATGAGGTCCTATCACAGACAAGAAAGGCCCACAGACATCCAAGGGAGACCAAGCCTGAGGAGCGAGTATTTTCCATGAAGAGAAGCTTTGTGAGGAGCTGAGGACTGGGTTGGACCTTGAAGGACAAAGTCTATGAGGGGGACCGACAGGTACACGTGCAGCCCTGCAGGAGTGTGGACCAGCCACGGGGGGTTACCACCTTGAAGCTGAGCTCTGAGCTGGAAGGCACACTGGCCCCAGCCTGTAGGTCTGCACTGAGGCTCCACGCACTGTCCACTGAGGGCTATGCACCTCACACTCCACCAGCGCCAAGGCTTCCAGAGATTTCTCTATCACGGTGTCTCAGCCATGGATCTGGTGTCACTGGATGGAGAAGAGTTCTCTTCTGGTGGATGCCCTGAGCACTGGGTACTGTTTAGCAGCAAACCTAGTCTTATCCAGTGGATGGCAACAGCACATCACCCACCTGTGAGGACACAAAGGTACCTCTGGACATGGACAAATGTCCTCATGGTGGGCAGATGGAGGGGGGCATCGGCCCCAGGAAAGAGTCATGGTTCTGGCTTTGGAAAGAAGTATTCTGGGATCTCTCATAGTGCCCTTGCCATTCCCAGAAATGTCAGAGGTGCCCACTCTGGAGGCCTATGGTTTGGAGGAAATCCCGGCATAACCTGGAGGGAAAATGAATAACAGATTGAGAAGATAATGGAAATCCAATGAACCTTATGGGCTATCACAAGTGTGTGGGAATTAAATATTTGACCACACATTTTGTGAAAACAACAAGTTCTGTAACGTCAGTATTTTCGTGAAGGAGCCAAGGAGAACTGGCTGGAGGTGGCACCTGATCCTGGCTCAGCTTCCAAATCAGGTCCCTGTCCCCAGGCATTAGATGGATCCGGGTTAGATGAGATCAAGCTGATGTTTACTGTGGGGAGAGGAGGACAGTGGTGGCCGGGGGCCTGGATGACAGAACTCCAACTTCTTGCTCTTCTGACCTGGTCCCACCAATGGTGATGCCACATGTCTCTCCAGAAACACAAAGGACTCGGTGTTAGCACCAGCATGTCAGGCTGATGCCTGGGTTTAGGGTTTCCTTCATTAATTTTTCTAGTTAAAATGTGTTTCTCTTCCACAATAAATCTAGTAAGTAAATGTGTTGTGTAATGAGATAATTCGTCCTATAATGGCAAATACTATTCCTCACAGAAGTTACACACCTAATTAGACACCTACTGTATCACTGTTGTCACTCAAAGACCAGAGAGCACAGGACATGACATCTAGGACTCAACAGGGAAAAAGGGCCATGGATGATCTCTGCATCTCTTGGAGGATGGAGAGGAGCAGGGAGTTCTATCGTCTGTAATGGTCCTCCTAGGCCTCCAGGAAGAGTGCTCTCAGGTTTATAATTAATCACTGTCAGCTGATGTGTAGCTAGTACCTACTCTGTGCCCAGCCCCATTCTGAGGACTTCTGGGCTGCAAGTCATTCAGGCCTCACAACGAGCCTAGGCCTCTTCCCCTTGTACCAAGAGACTCTGTGGTGACAGCCCACCGCAGGCTTGGATCAAGGTATGGGAAGCACCCATATCAATAAAAATCTCACTGCTATCAAGATGTCTCCAGGCCCAGGGGCTGTTGTGCATTATGTCCTGGGAAAGCACCTCCCCAGCCAGCCTCCAGATGCTGGCAGGATCTTAAGGAAGAAGAGGCTCATCTCCAAGGACACCATTGCGGTCAGTGTCTCAACAGCCCTGGTGCGAGGGGCAGAGCCCATTTACAGAATTGTGGGGAAGTAAAGTGGAAAGTTTCTTGTGTCTAAATACCATAGAACTAACTTCTTCAACTAACATACGAGTGAGAAATTCAAGGATCATATACATTAAAGATTCTTGTGTCGGTTTTATTCTCAGTGGATCAGTGAGAATGACAATAAATCTCAGTGAATGTCATTACTTTTATTAAGGATGGATGAAAAATTGGATGGATGGATGGATGGAAGGATGGGTAAGAGGATGATAGCTGGATGGATAGATTAATGGATGGAGTGATGGATAAGTGGATGAAAGGATGTATGTATGTGTGCCTGGATGGATGCATGGATGTATAGATGAAACCTGTGGATTAGTCATGATTACCCTTCCTAGGGCCTGTGCTCGGCTTCTACATGGAGTGCCTGGCACTCATACAAAAGCCTCCTCAGTGTCATTCATGCTGTTTGTGGAAATTGAAGCTCGGGACAAGCTGCACTGTCTTTCCCAGGGTCACCTCGTGGTTAGCGGTGACATCCAAGATGCAAATCCATATCTGCACCCACCCAGATATCTCTCATCATCCAGTGCTGCCTCTCTCAAGTATCAGGGATTCTACCTCTCAATCATCTCCTGAATGAGTGGAAGAAAAACCCTAAAGCTAACAAAACTGAACAAAATATAACTGCATTCATAACTTTCTACATTCACAACATTCATAAATAAGGTGAGAAGCTATTGCTATTTCCCAGCAAAAGGCACCTGACTTAGTCCATGGGTGACGAATGTGTGCCCTCCACAGGTGCTGGCTGGTATTGCACCCAGCCCAGGTGCTGGGTGAGGCAGGAGGCCCAGGAAGAGAATGTGAAGATCTCTGTGCCTTATAGAAGAAGCAGAAGAAAACAGAGAGGAGTAAGGGGGCTGGAGGGAGAAGGGGAGGGGAGGAGACAGGTGGATGGGGAGGGAGAGCTGGAGGAGGAGGAAGAGGTAAATGAGGACCCAATATTAATAAAACAAGAATGACAACACAGACACATAATGTTGTAGTAACTTACTTTATTTAGTAAGCATTTCGGCATTAATTTTATGTAATTTCATTACCATGATTGCTGTTATGAAATCTATGAGGGTTTTTAAGGCTCTGACTCCTTGGTTTCTACAAACAGACCATAAGCTGGCGGGGTTCTAGATGATTCTCACGTCCTTCTTGGACCGATGCCAGGTACATCTCCTGACACATTCCATCATCTGTGGGAGGGACTAATTGGCCGCCAGGAGAATAAAAGGAGGGTCGGGGCTCTCACCTCCAAAGTGAGTCCTTCTTCCCTGCCACGTCCGAGTGACCAGCCAGCAGCAGCTGCCTGAGCCATGAAGCTGGTGATAGTGCTCATGCTGACCGCCCTCCCCCTTTTCTGCTATGCCGGTGAGTGTGACAGCTTCAGGCTTTGTGGGGAGGTAGGTGTCAGGGCCCCTGGGGCAGACCTTCTGCTCCCCAAACCCCAGCCCAGAGCGCCTCATTTCCCTGCTTTCTTCTTGGCTCCATCGTGTTTGGCTCTCTTGGCTGTGGAAGCCAGAAAGCTGGGGGCGTTGGGTACAGGAGGCGGGACAAGGAGGCTTATGTCCTGGGGCCAGAGAACACCCTAGACCCGGAGTTAGCTCTCCCAGAAGGGAGGACTCGGACCATTGTCCATAAGCTCCCTGAGTGTCTGTCTCTGCTGGGAGGTAAGAAGATTGGGCCATCGTCCTGGCTACGCCCAGGAAGGAGGTGGTGCCTCCAGATCTGAGCCGGCTTTTGTGTGCTTTCTTCCCAGGTTCTGGCTGCTCAGACCTAGAGTATGTGATTGAAAAGACCCTTGATCCCCAAGAGTCCATGACTCAATTCATCCAAGACCTTGAGGAGTACATCCCGGGTGAAATTACTAAGATGGCCCTCATGAAGTTTAAGCAGTGCTTTCTCAATCAGAACAACCAAACCCTGAGCAACATTGGCGAGCTGGTGGTAATGGTGGCTTCTCCTTCCCACTCTGGCCGGGAATCAGTGGGCTCTCAGTTCTCTACAAACTACTTTTTTCTTAGTTACTATTTTTTAAGATGTATTTTAATTGGTTTCAGAGAGGAAGGGAGAGGGAGAGAGCGAGAGAAACTTCAGTGATGAGAGAGAATCATGGGTTGGCTGCTTGCTGCACGTCAACTACTGGGGATCCAGCCCAGAACCCGTCATGTGCCCTTGAACAACTCAAACCCACGACCCTTCAGTCCGTAGGCGAGTGCTCTATCCACTGAGCCCATCCAGTGAGGGCGGTACTGGCATCTTGAAAGCAAGTGTTGGTCATGCTTCATGTCCTCTCAGGGAATGGGGTTGTTGGGAGTGTGAACAGTCTGACATCCGGAGAGCCATGCCAGGGGCGGGGCTGCTGTGCCTGCTCACGGGGAGGAGTCTGTATGTGAGAAAGGCCACGGGGGAGGAGAGCGTGTGGCAAAGGCTTGCCTACCCTTCAGCGCCCAAACCTCTGATTCTCGAGAGGACCCTCACGTTTAAGAGTGAGAAACACACGTAGGAAAGCATTTTAAAGCATTTTCTCAAGCCCTAGGCCAGTGGTCGGCAAACCTAGGCTTGAGAGCCACATGCAGCTCTTTGGCCCCTTGAGTGTGGCTCTTCCACAAAATAGCACATCCTGGGCGAGTCTATTTTGAACAAGTGGCCTTAGAAGAAGTTTGAGTTTAAAAACTTTGGCCCTCCAAAGAGATTTCAATCGTTGTCCTGTTGATATTTGGCTCTGCTGACGAATGAGTTTGCCCACCACTGCCTAGGTGGTTTATCTCAGGGCATAGAGCTTTGGCCTGGGGACTGAAGGGTCCTGGGTTTGATTCTGGTCAAGGATTCATGCTTGGGTTGCGGGCTCAATTTCCAGTAGGGGGCGTGCAGGAGGCAGCCAATCAATGATTCTCTCTCATCATTTATGTTCCAATCTCTCTCTCCCTTTCTCTCGGAAACCAATAAAAATACATTTTTGAAAAAAACCTTTTCTCAAGAGAGCAGAGACTTACACGTCAAGAAGAGCCCACTCTCAGGAGGCTTTACGAGCGTCTGCCAGTGTGCGTGGCCGGACGTCCTGGGCAGGAGGAGGGCCCAGGAGTGGAAACCGTGGCTGAGAAGCGCCATGGGCGGTGGGATCGTTGAAAACCAGAGTCAGCATAAACGATGAGACCGGCTTTCTATTCATTCCCCCCAAATAGCCATGGGAACAGCCCAGGGCAGCCAGGGGAGAGTTGGCCACAGCAGAGACACACCCTGTGCATGACAAGGTGCTTCCTGATGCCGGCTGCCTATGAGCTGGGGAGCTGAGGAAGGAGGATGAAGCCAAGTGGGTGGGGAAAGGCACTTCTGGGCTGTGTGCATGGGGATGGGTCTTGGAACAGCGAGGTCTTGGCCTCAGGCTGTGCCTCCTCAGCCCCAGAACAAAGGGAGATCCCGGCTGAAACCCCACCCCGCTCTCCGTGGCGGGAGAACAGGGAGAGGCCACTTCTGTGCCCAAGATGGCTTGGCGGGAGAGTGGGAGGGAGTGACTCTGTCTGTTTTCCAGAACGCCATATTGAACAGCGAGCAGTGTGCCGCCTACTAGCCCGCAGACCTTCCTCGGACCACAGAGAACGGCCAGACAGGACTCTCCCCTGCTGAGACCACAGCTTAGCTCCCCTCTGGGCCTTTTGATCCTGAAACCGCAAGACATTGCTGAAATCTCCCGCACATTCATTTCAATAAAGCACCAGCACACCAGCGCTCTCTTTGGTTACTGACCTGAACGGGCCTCAGCAGATTATGGGGCTAGGACATGGGCGCTCAGTCCAGAACCCGTGGCTGAGACACAGACCATTGCTGTCCTCCTCTCCCCACAGTAAACATCAGCTTGATCCCATCTAACCCAGATCCATCTGATGCCTGGAGACAGGGACCGGATTTGGAAGCTGAGCCAGGATCAGGTGTTTCCCCCAGCCAGTTCTCCTTGACTCCTTCACGAAAACCCTGACCTTTACATAACTTGTTCTTTATACAAAACGTGTGGTTACATACTTAATCCCCAAACTCATGACAGTCCATATGGGTCATTCAAGTTACACCAATATCGTCTGTATTCCGGTACTAATTTCCCTCCAGCACACGCCCACATTTTCTCGCTAACCCAGGCCTCCAGAGTGGGCACCTCTGGCCCTTCGGGGAATGGCTAGGGGACTATGAGAGATCCCAGAATACTTCTTTCCAATGCCAGAACCGTGACTCTTTCCTGGGGCCGATGCTCCCCTCCATCTGCCCACCATGAAGACATTTGTCCATGTCCAGAGATATCTTTGTATCCTCACAGGTGGGTGGTGTGCTATTGGCATCCGCTGGGTGAGACCAGGTTTGCTGCTAAACAGTGCCCAGTGCTCAGGGCATCCACCAGAAGAGAACTCTTCTCCATCCAGTGGCGCCAGAGCCAGGGCTGAGACATCCGTGATGGAGAAATCTCCGGAAGCCTTGATGCTGTCCTGACTACTGAGGTGGCGTCGCCTTGAGTGGACAGTGCGGGGAGCCTCAGTGTAGAGCTAGGCCGACAGGCTGGGGCCCGTATGTAGTTTAACTGTTGGAAATGGCTAAACGGCACTTTCCCCAAACCTGAATAGGATTGTTTGCTGCCGGACAGCTCAGGGCATTTGATTGCCTCCTGTTGGCCAAACATCTGAACAGCTGTAGGCCATTCCCCAAACTGACAATGTTTCTCTTACCCTACCCTTGGAAGTGTATTATCTGCACCTTGCCTTAGGACAATTGTGTTAAATAAATACCATGGGTCCTTAGACAAGAGTCAGTCTTTAGCTCTTTAGCTTATGATCCTCTGACCCCCAATGGCTTTCAAAATCACTTTTGGTCCCCGGACTCTTTAATCATCTACACGCAGCCCTTTCTCCAGAATGCTGAACCCTTTGTGAGGCTGGGAAGAGAAGCCCGGCATTATGACGCCCAACGAGGGACACCAATAAAGGGCCTCTGTTCGATCAATAAATAACACCCCCATCGATATAGAACATGAAACAAGGCCTCCTTCAGTGCATTAAGAGATGCATTGATCAACAGCATTTCGCTTTGATAAGAAGCATCAAAAACTGGAAGGTCCCTGATGGGGCCCAGATCACCTTACACACTCCACAAGCCACGCCACTGCTTCTCCCCTGCCCTGTGCACTGAGCCCCGAGATCCATGCCCCAGGCTCCAGGGACACGCAGGAGTTCTGCACAAGCCCCATTCCCGCCTTCTACCCCCACAGAGTGCCTTCCACACCTCCTGCAACCATTGATGCTATGACTTCTTGCTGCACGCTTTGAACGGCAGAGGGAGCACAGGTCATGGGGTGAAGGGCTGGGTTGGGCTGGACCTCAGAGATGGTCTCCTTCTTCTGCTCCTCTGACTCTCGCCAGAACTCAGTCGTCCTGTGGGGCTCAGTGTCCTGTCTTTCCCGAGGGTCAGCAATGAAAGGGAGGCGCCCGGCTGGCCTGGCTCAGGGGTTGAGCATCTACCTATGAATCAGGAGGTCATGGTTCCTGAGTTGTGGCCTCAGTCCCCACCCCCACCCCTATTCCTTCTTTTCACAGAAAGCTGCTTGCTCTAAGGAGTTTCCCCAGCCCCTGCTGGGCCCCCACTCCTGCTGTGGTTACATCTCAGCAGGTGGCACCCTTGCACTCTATCCATTGGAGACTCTTTTTACCAGATGTGGCTACCTTGTCTCTCTCCCCGCCCCCAACGCTGCACCCCTCTACCCAGCACTGGTGACCTGACTGCCCCTCCGTACCCCATAATCCATGTAAAAGGTCCGACATCCAGGAAATGAGAGCCACAAAGGAAGTAAGTGAAACTAAGGGGATTGTAAATAGTTGAATCAATAATCCAGAAACAAATGCAAACTTATGAGACACCCCCACCTGATGAAGAAGCCCCAACTCTAACTTCTGCTGAGGACCCTATAGAGTGTGTGAGACCCACACGCCCTCCAAGAGCGAGCAGAGGATCCACATGAAATGGAAGTTCGCTGGTGAGGGTGTTGGGCAGCCGCCAAGGCGGTATGAACTTGAGGGGTCCAGATTCTAGGAAAAGGGCACCTTTCCCCTGGGGGCACCTGCCAGGTCCCAGGAAGATGAGATGCAGGATGCTGAGAGGACAACCACCTGGACAGTCATCTCGTCCTGGTGGCCCTGGAAGAGCCGCGGACCCTGCACCCTTTAGCGTGTGCTCATGGCCGTGTCTTAGAACGGACCTGCCTCCTTGGCAGAAGGTGCAGCCACGCTTCCCACTGCACATCCCCTCATTGACCAGCTGCCCGGGTCCTGGCTGAGTGGGCCCCTTGGTTGGAGCCCCATCCTCTCCATCTCCTGATGCCTAAGGGAACTTCACAGCTGACTGCCAGGCCACTTGGTCAGGCAATCACCTGGTATCTGGGCCATTTGCAAACCTTTTGCAGGTGAGGGCTGGGTTCTCATGCCTGCTCTTCTCTCCTAGACCTTCTGGAAGGACGTTTGCATCATGGAAGCCCAGAGGGGGCTGATTACCATGCTCCTCCCCAAGCAGTTTACCCAGCATGCACTGCTGCTCAGCAGACGAAGTAGCCCACAGCCCAGACAGAGTCAGGAAGCAGCTGTGCCTTAGGCGACCTGAGCGAGACAGGGAGTGGCAGGTGGGCAAGGGAATGGGCTACAGTTAGGGTTGGCTTGGCACGCGTGGATGGGTCCAGTGGAAGCAAGAGAGCCTAGATTGGGGGTGGGGAACCTCTTCCTGTGCCAGGGCCATTTGGACATTTACAACATCCCTCGTGGGCACACAGAATTATCAACTTCCAAATGAGCCTGCTAACTAGGAGGAAACATTGCATCAACTCGCCCCTAATGGCTTGGCTGGGTGACCAAATGATTTCTTTGCCATCTTCAGCCTGCGGGCCGGCCCTGCCCCACCCCTGAGGAACCTGTGTCCTTCACCTTCACTCTGACCAGGTGGAGGTCATTACCAACTCTATTCCCTGAATGTGGTCAGTCATTTGCACATTAATGAG